CTCTTCGCGCGGACCTTCCGGGACCGCGCGAGCCCCGCCTACTACCCGCACCGCATGGCGCCGGCGTTGAGCCGCGGCGCGCCGTCGGCCGGGTCCCTGCGGTCCCTGGGCGCGCTGCTCCGCGGCGAGGGGGACGGGGAGGACGACGGCGGCGACTGCTTCGGCCTGTCGCCGACGCGGGACCCGGACGCCACGCTGCTGGGCGTCGCCGAGGTGCCCCTCGGCGCCGTCGCCGCCGCGGGCGGCGACGACGGCCTCCCGGGATTCCTCGAGCCCGGCGGCTGGCTTCCGCTGCGCCCGCCGCGCGACGCGCTGCTGCCGGGCGCCGCGGACGGCGCGCCGCGCGCGGACGCGCGCGACGACGTCTCCGACGACGACGGCGGCTACGCGTCGGCGGACGGCGACGACGCGCCCGCGGCGCCGCCGCGCGCGCAGCTCCGGTGCCGCCTGGAGCTGCTGGGCGACGCGGCCGCGCGGCGCGCGTTTCGGGATTTGGACGCGCGCGAGGCCGAGCTCGAGGTGGCCTGCGACGAGGCCCCGCCCGGCGACGACGCCGACGCGCCGGGCGACGGCGACGCCGGCGCCGTCGCGGGCACGGGGCTGCTGTCGCGGTTCCGCCGCGCGCGCCACGGCGCCGTCGAGATCCAGAACTCGCTCAAGGACGCCGTGCGCCTCGGCGAGCAGGTGCGGGGTTTGCTCGAGTGGTCCCAGCCCGCCTTCACGCTCCTCGTCTTCGGCGCGCTGGTCCTCGCGCTCGCCGTCGCCGCGTCGGTGCGCGCGGACGTGTTGGGGGTGCTGGCGACGCTCGGCACCGGCTCCAGCGCCGCGCGCACCGCGTGGCCCGGGCGACGGCCGCGCGCCGCGCCGCGGCGCGCTGCGACGCCGCCGCGGACGCGCTCGTCGCCGCGGCGGCGCGCGCCGACGCCGCCGACGCCGCCGACGCCGCCGACTCCGCCGACGCCGCCGACGCCGCGGATGGCGAAGGCGACGGCGCCGCGCCGCCCGCGCCCGGCGACGGGGGCCTCGCGGCGGCCCTGCGCCGCGCGGCGTGCTGCGCGCGCGCGGGCGCCCGCGCCGCGCGCCGCGCGGACGCGGACGCGGACGCCGCGTCGGCCGCGGCCGTCGCGGCGGCGGGCCGCGGCGGCGCGCGGCCCCCGTCCCAGCCGGCGACGGTCTGGCAGCGGCTGCTGGCGCTCCTCGAGGCGCTGCCCTGCGAGCCGGAGCTCGAGCAGCTCTTCTCGCAGCGGCGCAAGGCGCGCGACTGGCGCCGCGACCGCCGGTCCGCCGCGCGGCGCCTCGGCGCGGCCTGGGCGGGGCCCCTCTGGCGCCGGTCCACGGCCTGGCGGCGCCACTTCGCCGCCGTCCGCGGGCCCGAGCTCCAGTTCTGGTACTCCGCGCAGCACGCGCTCTCGGGCGTCACGCCGGTGCTCGTCGTGAGCCTCGGCGACGCGCGGCTCGTCGACGACGCGCTCGCGAGCGACAACCTGCCCGTGCTCACGCTCCACGCGCCCCTCAAGTCGAAGCCCGACGTCCACCGCGAGTGGCGCCTCGCGGCCGCGCACCACCGCGACGCGCGCGCGCTCCAGCGCTGCATCTGCGACCGCGCGGACGACTCCCGCGCGGCGGCCGCCGCGGACGCGCCCGCGACGCCGCCGCCGGAGGTGAAGAAGGGGCTGTAAGTGCCATCTCATGTGCGGGACGGGGGTGAAGACGCCGGGGCTGTAAGTTCCACTCATGTGCGGGGGGGGGTGAAGCCGGGGCCGTAAGTCCCATCTCACGTGCGGTCCGCTCTAAGGTCCGTTACGACTCGGGCGTCGACGCCAGCTGGAGGATCTCGCCGTTCGTGTAGCGCCTGGCCGGAGCTCCGAGCGGCTGGTAGGCCGCGCCGGGCTGCGGGATCACGTAGGAGAAGCCGGCGCGCGGCGCGCGGAACCGCGCGCGCCCGAGCGGCGCGCGCGGCGCCACGTAGCCCAGGGGCGCGAGGGCGGCCTTGGACGCCGCCGCCTGCTTGCAAGTCCAGACGACGTCGAACTCGCGCCGGCTCGACGGCGCCGGTCGCCGCGCGACGAAGGTCGCGCGCGTCACGAGCTTGCTGGAGAAGAACTGCGTGTCGACGTAGTCGAGGACGAGCGATGCGGCGTAGGCGCGGCCGCACGCGCGGCACGTCGCCACGGCGCCGCCGTCCTCAAGCGACCAGGCGAAGTCGTCCGAGGACGCGTCCGCGTGGTCGCAGGTCGCGCCGCGCCGCGCGGCGGCCTTCGGGCAGCCGGTGACGCTGAGGCCTTCGCGGGCGCAGACGGCGCGCCACGCGGCGGGGCGCCGGAAGCCTTGCGATGTGGTTTCAGCGCGGCCCTGGCTCGCGACGTCGAGATAGGACAGGACGTCCACAAAGAGGTCGATGGGAATCGAGTGTAGGCTGCCCGGCGGCGGCAGGTCTTCCTCTGGAGGCGGCGGCCGTTCTTGCTCTGGAGGCGGCGTAACGGCCCCGTCCCTTTCGTCATCGGGCGGGTGAGAGCCGCTTTGAAAAGTTCTTCCATCGTGCACGCCAGGCCGCGGACTGGAGCACGCGCTCGATTGCTGCCAAATAAATTTATTGCTGTGTCAAAAAAACAAAGGTGCTTTTTTCAACTCAGCGATTCGCCTGCGCGATGGCCGCCCTCGAGCACGCCAATGCGGCGCCAACCCTCACCTGCGCCGACGTCACGCAGTGCTCCATCTGCCACTGGTACCCGCTCAACAAGAAACACACGTTCAAGACCATCGTCGTGCCCGCGTCGCGCGCCTTCGTCGAGTTCCTCGGCAGCGACGGCCCCATGGTCATTCCGGAGACGGCCAAGGGCGCGCGCGTCGCGAGCCGGGGCCGCACGGCCGTCGACGACGACTGCGAGCTCAGCGACGACGAGTCGGCGCCGGCGCCGCGGTTCCCCGACGACGAGGCGGCCGTCGACGCGGCGATCGCCGAGCTCGGCGGCGTCGCGTTCTGCAAGCTCAACTGGTCCGCGCCGCGCGACGCGGCCTGGCTCACGGGCGGGCGGTTGCAGTGCGAGTGCGCGGGCGACGTCTTCGCGCTGCTCGCGGCGTCGGAGTTCGCGCGCCACGACGTCGGCCGCGCGTACGACGGCTGCGGCGACGGCGGCGACGCGGACGCGATCAAGTGCGACGCCGTCGTCGCCCTGCGCGCCTGGCGCGACCTCGAGCCGTCGCGCGAGTTCCGCTGCTTCCTGCTGGACGGCGTCCTCGTCGCCGCGTGCCAGCGGCGCGTCGACGAGGTCTTCGAGGAGTTCGACGACGACGACGGGTCCGCGCTCCGCGGCGTCAAGGCGGGCATCGCGAAGCTCGTCGACGCCGGCGTGGACGTGCCCCGCGACTGCGTCCTCGACGTCGCCTTGGACGGCCGCCGCGCCTACCTCGTCGACGTCGGGCCGCCGGTCGCGACGGACCCGCTGCTCTTCGCGTGGCCCGAGCTCCTCGCGCTGCGGCCCGCGGCCTCGGCGCGGCCCCGGGGGCCGTCGACGGACTTCGAGCTCCGCGTCGTCGACGCGGACTCGCCGCCCGTCATGCCCTCGGAGCTCTCGAGCTTCCGCGCGCCCCTCGACGTCGCCGAGATCGCGCGCGCGGGGGGGCTGGACGAGCTCCTCGCCTCCATGCGGACGCAGCGCGCGGATGATTCGTCGTCGTCCGACGACGATTAACTTACGACCACGCGTCGAGCGCGTAGAGCCCTTGGATGACCTTGGCGCCCATGTGCGGCGGGCCGATACGAGCGTTCAGAGCAGGCTGAGCGCCCACGACCACACAGGATCGTCTCCTATTGAAATTTCCTAACCCGCTGATCGCTAAATCAGCATTAGGGCCTCGGGCGACAGCGGCGGCGTCGGCTGGGCGCGGAAGCGGGAGCGCTCGTAGTCGGACATGTCCTTGGGGACGATGTCGCGGCGCCGGCAGACGCTCGCCCAGTGCGTCGTCGTCGCGCCGTCGGCGACGGCCTGGCGGCGCTTCGCGGCGACGTCCGGCGGCACGAGGGACCGCGGCGTGAAGGACACGTAGAGCGCCGCGCGCGCGAGGCGGTCCGTCGGGAGCTGGTCGGCTTTGGCCGGCGGCGCGCCGGGCTCGTCGAGGAGGCCGTCGCCGGGCCAGGAGCAGTGGACCGTCCGCGAGTCCCAGCACAGCAGGTCGCCTGTGCCGAAACCAACCACTGGTTTGGGTGGTCCTGACCAAACTTGAGAATTCTCTAGCTCGGTCAAATCAAAGTCGATTCGGCTGATTTTTGGACGGATCGATCGCTCTCGTCGAGTTCTCGAAGCCCAGCCGAAGAGCTTGTATCAAAACATTCGAATACGCTCACATTGAAGTCGGGTTGAAGATTTGGTTTCGGCACAGCAGGTCGCCGGCCTCGAGGTGGACGACGACGTGGCGGCCGCCGCCGTCGCCGCCGAGGAGGCCGTCGCGGCGCGCGGCCGCGCGCGGCAGCGAGAAGAAGTCGTCGCCGTCGCGGCTCCGGACCTGCTCCGGGTACAGGTCCACTAATCTGGGGAAGACGTCCGCGTGGCTCCGCTCCACGAGCAGGTTCCCGCCCGCGGCCTTGCTCGTCCGCGTGAGCGAGACGAGGCCCTGGATGCATTCGAAGCCGGGCTTGAGCAGCGGGTTCTGGTCCACGTGCTGCCAGCCCTTCTGGCCCCTGAGGCCCGGCCGCCACGCGCAGCCGCCGTCGAGCGACACGCAGAGGCCGCCGGGCGCGTCCAGATCCCGCGGGTCCGCGCGCGGGTGGGCCATGGCGCGCCAGAGCTCCGCGAAGCACTCGCGGACCCGCGGCCGCGTCCGCGCGAACCACTTGGACTCGCACTGGCCCACGCCGAACATCGACAGGATGCCCGCGCCCCCGACGCCGGGCGGCCACGCGTCGGCCCACGTCGACGGGTCGCGCCGGTCGAGGCCCGGCCCGACCTTCTCGAGGAAGGTCCAGAGCTTGTCGAGGCACGTCGCGGCCTCCGCGCCGTCGAGCGCGGCCGCGAAGACCACGTAGCCCAACTTCTGGAAGTGCGCCGCCGCGCCGGCCTCGCCGCGCCGGAAGCGCCGGCGCCTCGCGTAGTAGACGGGCACGGACGACAGGGGGTCGTCGTCGCCGCCGTCGTCCTGCTTGGCGCCCTCGGCTTCGTCGCCGCAGGGCTTGCACCGGTCGAGGCGGCTCGGCGGCCGCGGCGCGCCCGCGTCGGCCCGCGGCGCGGGCGGCGCGGGCGTGCAGCGCAGCGTCCAGCCGGGGTGCACGAGGTCGTCGCGCCCGAGCGTCGTCTCGAACTCCGTGTGGAGCACGAGGGTCGCGGGGTTGGTGTTGCGCAGGTAGTTCTTCGAGATGGCTCTCAGCAAGCTCTTGGCCGTCGTCGGCTTGGCGAGGCGCACCTTGTACCGCTTCCCGAGGTACTTGACGACGGCGTAGCCCTCCGGGGCTGCCTCCTCGACGACCATCGAGCTTCAGGGGGCTGCGTCTTCGGGACCGACCATGCCTCTCGAGCTGGACTTCGTTGCACACGATGTTGAACTTTTCAGGCGCCTCGACTCGTGACTCGACTCGGCGAGCTCATCACGTGGCGCTCATCAGCGGCGCGCGCGAAGGAGCGCCGGGCGCGGGAAAGGACACTACGCCAGGAGCTTAACCTCCGGGATCGCGGTCAGCGCGTCGGAGACGGCCTTGGCGACGCCGGCCACCGCGGCGCTGTCGCCGATGGCGAAGTCGAGGCCCTCGACGCGGACGAAGACGGGCGTGAGGTGGTCGCCGTCGAGGCCCGCGACGTTCGCCCTCCGCGGCAGCGCGGCGGCGAGGGACGCGGAGCAGTCGAGGTCGTCGCGGTCGAACGTCACAAAGGCGCAGGGCGCCGCGACGGCGTCCAGGCGCCGGAGCGTCTCCTCGGGCGACGGCGCGATCTCGACGCCGGCCATGGCCGCGCCCGCGGCGACGATCTCCGCGATGGACCCCCAGGGGCTCGCGTCGCCCGCGGGGCCGTCCTCGAAGCCCTCCAAGAACACCTCCAGCAGCCGCGCCGAGTCGACGATGCCGAAGTTGTTCGCCGCGACGTGGACGAGGCGCTCGTAGCGCGGCGCCCGCGCCTCGTTCAGCAGCAGCAGCTTGCAGCCGAGCGAGTGGCCCACCCCGAAGACCGGCAGCCCCCGCGGCCAGTCCCCGAGGCAGCGGTCGAGCGCCGCGCGGCACTCCGCCGCCGCGGTCTCGTGGTCCAGCGACAAGGCGAAGGGCGTCGCGACCACCGCGACGCCCGTCTCCGCGACGACGCGGCGCAGCAATTCGCCGTAGGCGACGTGCGGGTACGTGCCGAGCGCCGCGCCGCCGACGAAGTGGACGACGCCCCAGGGCGCGCCGCCGGGCGGCTCGAAGACGAAGCAGCCGCGCTTCTCCTCGTAGGCGTCGCTCGCCGCGTCCTCGCCGTCGCGCAAGACGTCGAGGACGCGCACGAGCGCCGCGTCGTCCGGCGACGCCGCCAGCGGTCGCAGCGGACGGCGCGGCGGCGCCCACCGCAGCGGACGGCGCGGCGGCTGCGGCGCCCACGACTGGACGAGAGGTATGCTTAGAGCAGCAAGCAGCAGCGCCCGGCGCGACCATGCGGACATGCTCGACCAGCTCCGTCGCATCGGTGGCAGCGGCATCATCTGGATCCAACGGAGCACTCGATGTTGTCTTTCTCGGGCTGCCTCTCAGATGGTCGCATTGCGATGAGGAGCCCATGCTTGATGACACCTGGTTCTCGGGCGCGTGCTGCGCGGCGGGCTGCGCCTGCGCGTGCTTCGAGCGCTTCGCGCACGACGACGGCGCCTGCGTCTGCGGCCACGCGCGGAGCCTGCACGCCCCAGCGCCGCGGTCGCCGCGGCCGCGGACGCCGGCCTATGTCTATCTGCGGCCGACGCTGGGCCTCTGCAACCGCCTGCGCGCCCTGGCGTCGGCGATGGTGCTCGCCGAGGACCTGGCGAGGGTCTCGGGCGAGCCGTGCCGGGTCGTCGTCGATTGGCGGCCGGCGCGCGCGTGCGGCTGCGAGCTCGGCGACCTCTTCGACGCCGCGGCGTCAGGCCTGCTCCTCGCGGCGGACGCGCGGACGACCGTCGAGGCCGTCGCCGCCGCCGAGGCCCTCGACGCGCTCGAGACGGCCGCGGCCGCGGGGAAGGGCTCTCGAGAGGCGGCGCGGCGCTTCGGGCGCGCGGCGCGGACGGCGGGCTGCTGCCGCTGCGTCGGCGACGGCAGCCACGGCGCGACAAGAGGCGAGGAGCGCATCGAAAGCTTCGACGACCCCTACTATTCCTACGAATGCCTCTTCGTGGAGGCGATGACGTTCTTCTACCCGAAAGACGGCGAGCGGCTCGGCGGCGGCGGCGCGGGCTCGGACGAGCCGCCGGCGCTCCGGGCGCTCGAGGCGGACCGGTCGCGATGCCTGTCACGGCTCGTGCCCGTCGACGCCGTCGCGGCGCGCGTCCTGCGGCCGGCGCCGGGCCGAAAGTCCGTCGGCGTCCACGTCCGGAGGACCGACAACCACTTCGCCGTCATGCATTCCCCCCTCGCGCTCTTCCACGAGGCGCTGGAGGCGCGCGGCGACCGCAGCGTCTTCCTCGCGACCGACGACGCGGCCCTGGAGGCCGAGTTCGCGGAACGATGGCGCGCGGCGACGGCGACGAAGCGCACCGCCGTCGACGGCGTCGCCAACAGAACCTGCAGTTTGGGCGTCCAGGACGCGCTCGTCGACGTGCTCAGCCTCGCGGCCTGCGACGAGGTTCTGGGCAGCTACTGGTCGTCGTTCTCGCGCGTCGCCGCGCTCTGGCGCGACAGGCCGCTGACCGTCGTCTTCCGGCCCTACGCCGACGTCGACGCGGCCGCGAGGGAGGCCGGCGCCGTGGCCTTCGGCCTCCTCGAGCGCGGGCCGCACGAGGCGCCGGACCTGGACATGAACCGCGCCATGCTCAAGATCACGTCGAAGATGCTCGACGACGGCGCGCGCGCGACGGACGTCGACGACGACCCGGCCGTGCTCCGCGAGCTCCTCCGCGCGCTCCGCAAGACCGCGGAGGGCGGTGGCAAGCTGACCGCGGCGTAAGGGAGGCCCACGGCATCTGAAAAATGCTTTTTCTCGGCACCTTGAACTCAATTTTGACGCTCCTGCCGCAGCGAGCTATGAGCTTTTTCACGCTGCCGCCCACGGGCCGAGCGGCGCGCAAGGCCGCCGCCGCAGCGAAGGCAAAGGCGAAAGAAGACGCGGCGCTCGCGGAAACTGAAGCAACCCCCGCGCCGACGGAAACGCCCGCGCCGACGGCGGACGGTCCCGCGCCGGCGCCGGAGCCCGTGGAGTGGGAGGAGGCGCCGCGGAGCTTCGAGGAGGCGGCGGAGGCGGCGTACCCGTCGATGCGCGCGGACTACGCCCCGGAGGAGGTCTACGAGGACCGCGAGCCCGCGGCGCCGGAGCCGCGCGCGGCGACGACACGGCCCACGGCCGTCTTCGTGTCGAGCCTGCCGCGAAACGTCACGGACGGCGACGTGACGGCGCTCTTCCGCGACTGCGGCGTCGTCCGCGAGTTCCACCGCGTCCGCGACCACACGACGCGCGCCTTCAACGGCTGCGCGATCATCACCTTCGGGTCGGAGGAGGCCGCGGATCTCGCGCTGAAGAAGGACGGCGCGGCCGTCCGGGACAGCGTCGTCGCGATCCGCCGCGCCAGGCCCGCGCGCCGCGGCGGCCGCGCGACGGCGACGACGAGGGCGGCGCGCGCTTCGACGCGCTCAACAACCGCCTCTTCCCCCACGAGGTCGCCGAGGCGCAGCTCGACCACAAGAAGCGGCGGCTCGACGCGGCCTACTCCGGGTAACGGACCTACGGCGCGCGCGGGGGGGGGGCGGGGCCCGGCCCCTAGCAGAGGGGCGAGAAGCCGTAGTTCTCGGCGTAGATCATCTGCATGATGCCGTTGTAGGCCATGAGCACGAGCGCGATGATCATGATCGCGCCGATGACGAGGATGACGATGGCGTCCTTCTTGTACTTCTTGACGACGTAGTCGACGGCCGTCTGGCCCAGGAACGTCGCGAAGACGCCGAAGCAGGAGAAGAGCAGCGCGTAGTCGCCCGGGAGCAGCCCGAGGATCGTGACCTGCGCGAGGCCCGCCGTCGCGGTGATGAAGACGACGTAGGCCGACGTCGCGGCGATGGGCTGGGGCAGGCAGCCGAGCTCCACGAGCAGCGGGCCCAGCACCATGCCGCCGCCGATGCCCAGCAGGCCCGCCGCGACGCCCGCGAAGACGCAGAGCGCCGGGTAGACGGCCGTCGTCTTCTTGTCCCAGGCCAGGTCGCCCTCGAGGGGCTCGTGGCCGAGCGCCGTCTTCTCCTCCGCCGCGTTGAGCGTGCGGATGCGCAGGAAGTACGTCGCGACGAGCAGGATGACGAGGTTGATGACGAAGAGCCCCCAGTAGAGCCCGTCGCCGCACTCGAGGCCCGGGATCGCGCTCTCGCCGCCGCGGCCGCCGCGCAGGATGGCGAAGCCGAGCACGAGCCCCCAGAGCAGGCTCGTGTAGCCCCAGTTGGACCACTGGCAGAGCCGCGACTCCGCCTTCCGGATCGTCGTGAGGCGGACGGACTGCGCCTCCGTGAGGCCGGGCTTCAGCGGGTTCTCGACGCCCAGGGGCACGTCCTCGAGGGCCGCCACGGCCGTCTCCTCGTCGCCGCCGGCCTTCTCCTCCGCGTCCGCCATCGGCGACTTGTCGACGAGCTCCATCTCGCCCTCCTCGTCGCTGAGCTTCTTCTGCTTCGCGGACTCCGCGTTCCACTTGGCGATGCCCTTCTTCACCGTGCGCTTGCCGCTGTAGCCCAGGAGCACGACGAGGCAGATGACGACGAGCCAGGGCGGGAACATGACGCTGAAGAGGCCGCCGAACATCGTCCCGGCCAGCAGCGCGGGGCAGAAGAGGAGCGACGCGTCGTAGTCGATGAGCGGCCGCCGCAGGGTCGGGTTCGGGTGGTAGCGCTGCGTGTAGGTGTAGAGGTTCGCGATGGAGCCGCCGGAGATCGTCGCGAGCGACAGCGCCGTCGCCTGCGTCGTCGGGAAGCCGCCGACGATGCTGTAGATGGGCACGAGGAGGCCGCCGCCGCCGATGCCGCCGCCGGCGGCCAGGGCCGTCGCGACGATGAGCATGACGATCGTCGCGATGTCCATGCCGTTGAGCGGGAAGAGCGCCTTGTGCTTGCACCGGTGCTTCCACACCGTCTTCCCGTTCTCCTTCTCCTTGACCTTCTTGCACCGCGTCGAGAAGGGGCAGTCCGTCTTCCCCTTGTAGCACTCGCCGCCGGCCTAACGAGACGCGGTCGATGGTGGCACGCGGGCCCCCGCCCCCCCCCATGCCCCGGTCCGCCCCCGGGGACGCGGCGTCGTACCACGCCGACGGAACTGGCGTCGCTCTTGTCGATGCTCTTGTCCTCCCAGAGCAGGCGCTGCTCGTGGAAGGACGGCGTCGTGGACGCCGCGTGGGCCGCGACGAGGAGGGTTGCCCACACGGCGCGGGCCATCATCGTCCTACGTCGCACTCTTGCGAGCTGAAATGTTTCTCAAAAGTGCAAAGGGGTACTTCCACCTTGGGATTTTTTTTTATATTGAATATGGCGCCGAGCGCGCGGGCGGCAAGTTCGCGCGCGGTCAGTGAGGGCGGTCCGAGCTGTCGGTCATGAGTCGAGCCCCCGCGCGCGTACAGTCGGATAAAGGTGCCCCGCGCTCGGGGGGCGGAGGGTGGCGCCGGGCGCGTCGGCGCTCGCCTAGCAGGGCCCGAAGTCGCCGACGTCCTTGACGCGGGAGAAGGGGCAGGCGCCGTCGCGGAGGACCTGGAACTCGAAGTCCTCCTCGTGGAAGAACCTGTGGCAGGACTGGGAGATGGCGATGTGGACGTCGGCGATGGCGGACTTGTAGTAGGTCGCGCGCATGCCCGGCGCGCGAGGCTTGCACTGGAAGACGTGCTCGCGGCGGAGCGACCGGAGCGTCTCCGCGTCGACGGTCACGGGCGCGTAGGAGTTGACGCCCTCCTGGTTCGAGAGCGTGCGGTGGATGCACTTGTTGAAGAGGTCCTCGGCGTCGTCGTCGTCGTAGGCGTCGTCGTCGCCGCCCATGGACATGACGTTCGCCTCGCCCTCCTTCGACTCGTTCCACTGGCCCCGCAGCTTCCGGCGGTCCCGGCCCGTCTCCGGCGGCGCCTCGCGGATCAATTCCAGCGCCTCGTCGTCGCCCAGCGGCGCCTCGGGGATGAACTCGACGAGGGGCAGGATCTCGAAGTTGAGGAACGACCGCACGAACGGGTGGCCGCACGACGTGCAGACGTCGCGCGACCGCTCGTCGCCGACCTTGTTCGACAGCGTCGCCGCGTTCGTCGCCGGGTTCAGCAGCGCGTTCGCCGCGCCGCAGCGGTAGCAGACGGGCAGCAGCTCCGGGTTGTCGCGCACGGGCTTGGAGTGGATCGTGAGCATGTCCACGTCCAGCTGCTCCTGCCACTCGTCGGGCACCTTCATGTGCTGGAGCTTGTCGTAGGCGAAGCGCGCGAGCTTGTAGGCGCCCAGGTGCTTCGCCTGCTTCGCCAGCGCGAAGAGGATCTTCACCTTGGAGATGCCGTGGGGCGCCTCGCGCGCGCCGAGGCCGTTCACGAGGAACCGCGCGCACTGGAAGAGCACCTCGGGCTGGAGGGGCGTGAAGGGCAGGAAGAAGGACTCGATGAAGTTGTAGGCGTAGTACAAATCCGCCTTGTGGAGCTGGGCGCTGTACGCGGGCATGATCTTGGCGACGGCGACGTCGTCGCCGGACTCGCCCGACGCGACGTGGAGCGTCTCCGACGCGAGGAGCCAGTAGTAGTAGGCCGCGTCCTTGAAGCGCGACTCGACGACGGCGTTGCACGTGAGCTGCTCCATCATGTGCTGGGCCATGTCCGGCCGCCCGCTCTTGCGGTACGCCTCGAGCGCCTCGTCGAAGCGGTCGTGGAGCGCGAGCCACTCCGCGTAGGGCAAATACAACGTCTGGTCGAACTTGGCGCGGTGCGCGTTCGAGAACTTGGCCGACGCGTCCTCGGCCAGTTTGATGGCCTCGGCCCACTGCTGCTTGCGCACGTAGAGCTGGAGCAGCGCCTCGACGTCGTCGAGCTTCGCGTAGACCTCGCGCGCGAGCGCGTCCTCGCCCGCGGCCAGGAAGCAGCGCGCGCACTGGCGCAGCACGTCCTCGCCCGTGACGCTGCGCGCGATGGCGGCCATCTGCTCCGTCCAGTTGCCCTGCTGGTGCTCGCCTAAAAGCTTGACCGCGCGCATCGCGTCGCCCGCGGAGACGTACATGTCCGCGGCCGCGGCCCAGTCCTCGACCTCCTCGGCCCACTCCGCCTGGCGCCGCACGAGGTCCCGCGTGTCGATGGAGTCCGACGACGCCGCGAAGAGCTTCGCCTCCTCCCACTGGCGCAGGTCCGCGAAGAGGTCGATCGCGAGCTTCACGTGGCCCGCGCGCGTGTAGGCCTTGGCCGCCTCCTGGTAGAGGCCCGCGTAGGCCAGCAGCTCGGCCTGGAAGAGGGGCTCGAGCGCCTCCGTCGCCTTCTTCTCCGCCTCCTTGTCCTTGGCGCCGCCGCGGTCGCGCCGGCCCTTGCCGTCCTTGCCCTTCTCCGGCGAGTTCAGCGCCGCGGACGACGACGCCTGCTGCTGGCGCACCTCCATGGAGTTCAGCAGCTCGATCTGGCGCAGGTCGTGGACGCGCATGTAGGACGCGCGCGCGGTCGCGAGGTCCAAATTCTTCGCCGCGGCGTTCGCGAGGCGGCGCCAGTCCGCGGCCGTGACGCCCAAGCACGCGATGCGGTGGGCCTTGTCGAACTCCTTGGCGTCGACGTGCTGCGCGAGCGCCGCGGACTGGGGCAGGTCGATGACGGACACGTTCTGGTCCGCGACGACGAAGAGCTTCGCGCCGACGAAGCCGATGACCGCGCCGCGGATGTTGTGCTGCTGCACGGGGTGGGCGCCGGTCTTCACGTAGAGCTCGTCGACGTCCTTCTTGGAAAAGCAGAGCATGTCGTCGAACTGGGAGTTGAAGGACACGGAGGACGCGCCCTCGGCGGAGAACGCGACGTCCTTGGTCCTCAAATCGAAGACCTGGAGGCGGCCGTCGTCGTTGATGACGGCGAGGCGCTCGCGGTCGCCGGACGTGTCGAGGCAGCGCACGGCGCCCGACGTCTTGACCATGTCGATGGGGAAGGGGTTGTCGATGTAGATCTTGAGCACGGCGCCGTCCGCTAAACCGACGAGCAGCCCCTCCTTGCCCACGGGCCCGCCGTCGACCTTGAGGCAGGTCACCTCGGCGTCGAGCACCCACTCGCGCTCCTTGGGCTTCGTGAAGCCGTGGAGCTGGAGCTTGTTCTTCCGGGCGAGGATCACGTGGCTCGACGTCACGCCGAGCTTGCCGCAGTCGCCGGAGACGTAGATGCGCTCCTTGCGCAGGCGGTAGTGCATGTCGACGCCCGCCTCCTCGCGCTTGTGGAGCTCGTAGATGTTCACGCGGTCCGGGAGCATGATCGCGAGGCGGTCCTTGGACACGGCGATGCCGCGGACGTAGTCGCGCGACTTGATGCGGACGCGCTTCTCGGCCTGCATGTGGTGGACGACGACGTCGGTCATGTGCTCGCGCACGGCGAAGCGGTCGCCGTCCAGCGCGTAGACGGCGTCGAACTCGACGGTCCACATGGATATCGCGCCGCCGTAGGACCCGACGGCGACGGCGGGCTGGCGCGGCCGCACCGCGAGGGACCAGACCCACTCGTCGAGCTCGCAGATGTTCTTGAGGCGCACGGCCTCGCGCGTGCAGAGCGACGCGCGCTTGTCGCTGCCGCCGATGACCATGTACTGGCCGCCCGTGAAGTAGCCCAGAGAACACGGGTAGAAGTGGACGCGCCGCTCCTTGAGGTACTGCGCGCCGCTCAGCTGGTAGAAGCTCACGGTCTGGTTCCAGCAGCCCACGGCTAAAAGGTCGCAGGGGTCGTCGCGCGCCGGGCTCCAGGCCATGCACCAGACGGGCGCGGTCTTCTCGATGACCTTGTACTCCTGGCCGTTCTTCTCGCGGATCTGCACGTGGCCGTTGTACATGCCCAGGGCGATGTACTGGCCGTCGTTGTTCCACTTCGCGCATAAGATCTTGGAGTAGACCTTGTGCTTCGTGACGGACTTTTGCTCCTTGGACCACATGCCCATGTCCGTGGCCGTGCACGACGCGAGCTGCTCCGTCGTCGGGTTGTAGCAGACGATCTGGATGGACTCGTTGTGCGTGAACTTCAGGATGCCGTCGCCCTTGTGGTTCCAGATGATCACCGTCTTGTCCGCGCCGCCGGACGCGAAGCGGAGGCCGTCGCGCGCGTAGTCGACGGTGTAGACGACGTCCTTGTGGCCCCGGAGCCGGTGGACGAGGTCGCCGTCGGACGTCGCGTAGACGAGGACGAGGTTCGACACGGCGACGACCATCTGCGTCCCGTCGGGCCGGAACGCGATGGCGTAGACCGTCGCCTTGACGTTGTCCTCGCGCCGCGGCGGCAGGCCCGGGTCCGTCCTGCGAATGGGGTTTTGTTAGGAGTTTTTCGGCGGTCCCGTGTCGCCCGCCCGCGCGCGCCCGAGCCCCGCACGCACCATAGCAGCTTGGGCTTCATCCCGCCGCTCGCGCCGCGTGCGCTGCGATCGCGACGGGCAGCCCGGGTTTGAAAGCGGTTCGATGGCCCCTCGAAATGCAACGTGGGCATATATATCACGTCAAATTGCCGCTTCCTATTGGGGGCAGCCCTAAAATAAGCTCGTCGCGCCGTCGTCCGCGAGCGCGACCATGGCGCAGCCGCAGCGGCGGCGGAGCAGCATCATGCTGAGCCCCTTCGCCGACAAGGCGAAGAACGACACCGTCGCCTTCGCGACGAAGCCCGTCGCCGCCGCCGAGGCGAAGAAGGGCGTCGAGGTCGTCGCCGGCTGCGCCAAGTGCAGCGCCGCGGACCACGCCGCCTTCGTCGCCGAGCTCAACGAGGACGAGGCCAACGAGCACAAGCTCAACGTCGTGGCGACGTGGAAGGAGGGCCGCCTCTTCTCCGTGGCGCAGATCAAGGCGGTCCTCGAGACGCTCACGTCCGTGAAGACGCGCGTCGCCATCGTCGAGATGCTCGGCCCGCGCGCGACGGACCCGAAGCACGGCGGCGACATTGTGGAGATGTTCCAGTACAACAAGGAGAAGGAGACCTGCGCCGCCATCTTCTCCGCGCGCGGCAAGCAGACGGACCGCGCGGCGTCGAGCGGCGTCGGCGCGGCGGGCGCGGGCCGCGGCGGCCGCGGCGGCCGCGGCG